CGGCGGGCAGGGTCAGGATCCCGGCGGGCTCACCGGGACGGCTCAGGCTGGATCCCCGGGCAGGCAGGGGCCCGGCACCAGGCTCCGCATCAGGGCAAGTCCCAGGAACAGCAGGGGGGTCCCACGCAGGAAGCGCCCGAGCAGGCCGCCCTGTCACCTGCAAATCCCTTGGCCTTTTAAACCCCAGTGACCCTCCTGTCCAGCCAGTGTCACTGTCCAGAGCCAATTGGCATCCATGAGCCCCAGGTTAGGGCGGTAACCAGCAAGGCAATGCAGAACTTGTTGCCCATCCTTCCTGCCTTGTGTCACAGCTGTTCTGCTGTTTGTCCTTGAGCAGCAGGCCTGGGTTTGGTCCCTTAGCTGGGTATCATCAGCAGGAGGCCTTGGCTGGCTTAAAAGGCATTTTGTTTAGACTTATGTGGGGAAGAAGAACCATTTCCCCCATGAAGTGAGATATTTCAGATTTCAGAGGCACTTAATTTACCTTTAAATCCTGCTGTAACTGAAATCCTGACCAGACCTTCCGTTATTTTGGCTTTTGGATGTGTTATATATTCTGTGCACTGCGAATGTGATGCTGAACAGTAACATTTGCTACTGCCACTGAGTGGATCGTGCTCCAATGCAAGAAGGAAGTGAGCATGGCAGAACACATCATTTTTTTGCTAAAACAGAAATAAACTGTTACTTTCATAGAATCATAGGATCCTAGGGGTTGGAAGGGACCTCGAAAGATCATCTAGTCCAACCCCCCCTGCCAGAGCAGGGTCACCCAGAGTACATCACATAGGAACGCATCCAGGTGGGTTTTGAATGTCTCCAGTGAGGGAGACTCCACAACTTCTCTGGACAGCCTGTTCCAGTACTTTATAGGAGACCTGCTCTTACCTCCTATCATTTTAGTACAATTGTAAAACTTGGTATTTAAGATTTGTCACAGACCAATGGGTGGTCTGTAAACCGGATCACACACTGTTATGTTGATGTGAACAGTAAGATTTTTGGAAAATGTTACTGCATCTAATTCCATTGTAGCAGTACAGTAATTCCAAATGGAATTGTGGAATATTGAAGGTGAACCAAATGGCATGAGGTATTTATTCAGCTCTTTGCTGCTGCATATATGTGTTTTGTTACCTCTACAATCAAGGAAAGAACAAAAAATTTCTCATGTGACTTATGTGAGAGTGTTTTACACTGCTTGAATGATTCACATCTTTGCATATAAACCTGACAGATTAGTTAGGAGATTGCCTAGTCTGATTACAAATTATTAGTCTGGGATATTGCTTTAATTGAATTGGAATATTTATATGTATTCTTTGAAGAGGAATGTCATAGTTGCATAATAATGCTAAAGGAAAAATCTCTCTTTCTTAAAGTAAATGTTACTGCATCTAATTCCATTGTAGCAGTACAGTAATTCCAAATGGAATTGTGGAATATTGAAGGTGAACCAAATGGCATGAGGTATTTATTCAGCTCTTTGCTGCTGCATATATGTGTTTTGTTACCTCTACAATCAAGGAAAGAACAACAAAATCTCTCATGTGACTTATGTGAGAGTGTTTTACACTGCTTGAATGATTCACATCTTTGCATATAAACCTGACAGATTAGTTAGGAGATTGCCTAGTCTGATTACAAATTATTAGTCTGGGATATTGCTTTAATTGAATTGGAATATTTATATGTATTCTTTGAAGAGGAATGTCATAGTTGCATAATAATGCTAAAGGAAAAATCTCTCTTTCTTAAAGTAATCCTAACTGAGGCTGCTTACTGTTTGTTAATATTAAGGAAGAAGAAAGATTTGTTACAAGAAAATATTGTGAATGCCAATATTTCCCTTCCCCCCCCATAAAATTTTAGTGCATCAGTTGCAAAATACTGAGAAGGGAGAAAAATTCAAGTTACTTTGATTGTTTGTAGCACGTTATCCTGCTAGAAGCTCAGGTTCTTGTTTTGATAATTTTCTTTTCACTCCTCTGTTTTCTTTAAGGCCTTATTCGATTACAAGAGCTCATCAAGGCTCCGTCACGGTACAACCTGAGACTAAAAATCCGTCAGTTACCAGCTGACACAAAAGATGCAAAACCATTGCTAAAGGAGATGAAAAGAGGCAAAGAATTCCATGTAATCTTTGACTGCAGCCATGAAATGGCAGCAGGCATCTTGAAACAGGTAATCCTCATTTTGCTTTAGATGGCCTAATCTTTTTCATCCCTAATACGTAAAAGTAATATGCAGACTTAATAGTATTTAACAAGCAGGGGAATTGTATGACAGTTTTATTGAAGCATAACTAAAAATCAGCTAAGGATTTCAGAGATAGTTTTATTGGTAACTCTAACAGTAGCTACTTTCATTATGTTTTTTTAAAGAAGCAGTTTAATCTGTTCATGTTCAGGGACAAAGTTTTATCAGTCTTTCAGCTATGAAGAACTGGTACTTTGGTGAATTGATGCTTTAACCTCAGTTTCAAATGTTTGCTTAGTGTAATTTTATATAACAAATTTATTATATTTGTTTTTCCTTTAAATTAAAGCCTCAAGACTGTGTACTCTTAATCAGTCAGTGACATTTGCATAGTATGATACCAACAGACCACATTCATGTGTTCCACAGAGGGAACAGAACTAATAGATATCTTTTAGAGCCATATTCTCCTTGCACTACTAATAGGACTACAAAACACCTTAACATATTTGGGCATGTGTTTTGAAAGTGTTTGTTTTGTTGTGTACAATTAAGATGAGCAGAATCCCAGATACTTAAATGGCTTTATGTTGCAGAAGCAAGTTCTAGGGATGTTTTCCAGTGAAAGTGACAATATAGTGGTATACAAAGGACACAGCTCATAAAAAAGTTTATTGTAACCCTGAGGTATCCATGAAGACATGTCTTTGTGTGTCTCCTTTAGTTTAATGAGCTAACTTCAAAGACTGGGAATTCCTTATACTCAGAGGCCATTTTCCTCATAGTTTTTTTTTAATAGAACTATGACTTGCAATAAGGAGGATAGGAAAAATACCTATAAGAAAGCAATATTCTACATTTCTAATGCACATCTTTTAGTCACTTACATTCATGTTTATATCAAGTTTGCTAGTATACTGGTTTAAATTGAAAACAAAGTGTATTTAAAATTTGAAAATATGTCTCTCATTAAGGTACTTAGGAGGAGTGTTGAGCATACAATTATAATTGACAGTAAACATAGATGTGTACTATACTTTCTTTGCTTTATTATTCATTGATTAAAAGGCTTTTATTAATTCCCAGTACTTTCAAACCTCTGCTGGTGGTTTTTTGCTCTTTACTAAGCATAAGCAAGTCTACTTAGGCTAATTGTTTAGCTCAAATAATTAAAAGTGCATTCAATTATTTCAACATCTTAAAAATGCTGATGGAAAATGTGCTGATGACAACACAAAGCTGCAGTATTAACAACTGCTTCATCCAGGTACCTAATTTATACTGCACCCAGTAGCTTTTAGATGAAGGCAAACTTTCTTCCACACTATATAAAATTTTGTAAAACATATGACTAGAAAGAAATGGGAACCTAATTTAAAAAAACATTCTATCTTTAATCTTGTCCCAGGATCCAAGAGTGAGCTTTTTACCTATTTAAATCAAATTATACTCTGATCTATCAAACTACTCTGCTCAGCCTAAAGAATATAGAAGGAAGATACAGGAACCATTCCTTCATGACTATTTAGATCTTTATGTAGTTTCTGTAGACTTTTAGCTTTCCTTTTAGCTCCATTATTGCAATGCTTAAAATGTCTGAAATTGCCAGTTCTGCAGCTGAATGGGAGCTCTTGCTGTCAAAATTGACACAAAGGAGAGTAAAGCTGTATTTATTAGTGATATAATTCCAAATATAGTGTTCACTAGCATTTGCTGAAAAATAAAAAACTAAAGATCTTTATATATTCAATTCTGAACTATTAACTAACCATAATTTTTGGTAATGGAGGGATAAACTTGGGGAGACATGACAAGGTTTTCTTCTTGGGAGGATAATTGAAAAGGTTTACAGTGAAGGTGGTGGAAGAGAAAACAAGTTGGTAGTAAAGAAAAAGAAGTATCTTAAGAGGCCAGTGAAGTAACAACTACTGTTTTCTGGCTAAAAATACATCATAAAAAGGAAAAAAAAAATACAACAAACCCACCATCATTCAGACAAGCATAATTAAATTAAGACAAATCTCAGTGGTAACTACCTCATGAGCAACCAGGAAAAGCAGACATGATTTAAAAGGTTAGGAAAGCACTGGAATAATGAAAGCAGAGAAATGACCACGTTTTGAAGAGAAAAAAGGAGTGAGGTCTTTTGAGAAGTGAGGAAAGTGAGAGAAAGACAACCTGGAAAATAAAAAACCACAGCACATAGCAGAATCAGGAACATGCATAAGATGTTCTTGTGTAGAGATTCTGTGGAGTGTGAAAGACCTTAGACGTAGTTAAGATATAGATGACTGCAAAGGTGTTAAATATATAGAGGAAGATACCTTGGCTTTATTTAATATCAACAAAACCTTTTAAAAAAAAGTTAAGAGTGTTTGTAATTTTATGGTTTCTAATAAAGTTTTAGTATTTCCCTGTGTTTAAGAGATTTTAAATGGCTATGGGCATACTCTACAGTATTTTTAAATATTATTGTGGAATTCACAGGTATAGGGGCATCCTTTGGAAAAGAGTTGTTGCAGTTTTTGTCAAAGTCTTGTCTAAAATACTAGAAAAGTAGATTTGCATCTGATATTTAAAATTAATATGGGCTTTTAACTGTCTTTGGAAACAAACATATACACTAGTCATTTAATCTTTTTTCAGACAATGTCACGAGTAAAAAGGATCCCACAGCCTTTGTAACTAATTATTTTGTATATAGATTGTGGTATTATGAAAAATAGTGTAATTGTTGCCTTCAGTGTGCTTAATGAGGTGTAACTGGTAGTGGCTTGGCAAAGAATTCTGTTGATTATTCCTGGAAAGGATGAAAACATTGCTTACTTGTGTAGCTTTTTTAGAGTGCTAAAACCGGATGAAAATCACAGCAGATCCTAAAACAATTTAACATTTTTTTTCTATTCTAAGGCAACTTTTGTCCATTACATGAAGGTGTTTTCTAGGTGGAAAGGCTCTTAATGAGTAAGACCAATGAGACATACATAGTCTATTGCTTTAAAATTGTATCTACAAATACTTGTTCTCACATTCCTATAGAGGAAAAAATGTATTAACATTTGAAAATACACAGTTGATCAAAAACTATTTGTTATTATATAGTTAGCAAGATAGATTAAGATACTTAATAGATATATGAACATATAGAGTAATTCTATGAATATTTGTTCTTAATTTTTCCCTGAAGTAGTGTGCATCTTTCTGTTCAAAACTTGGCTCCAGTATTTTCTTCTGTGGTTGGAAAAATGTACACATGTATAACATAGACCTGGATCCTTCTTTAAAAGGCACAATATTGCTCATCAAAATGAAAAAAAAAAAGTATTTCCCATTAGGTTATTCTTTTTAAAGGAAGGGTTCAATAATGAATAAAAATATTATCAATTCAAATTTTGTGTGGTAACCTAATACATCCATTAGTATGTGAAACTATAAGCCTCTTTCACATTTACTGCACTAAACAGTCTAATAATATTCTTTCTATCAGAAGATCTGGTTCATAAATTCCTTTAATAGTCAGTAATCTGCTCTAACTGCTAGGAAATGACTTGCTTGACCTAATTTTAGTATAATTCCAACCCTATAGTCTGATCCCAATAGTGTTCTTTTGCAGCTTTTCATTTGCCATGTAAGTGTGATAAAAATGTATTATGTGACCTCAGAAACATTAATCTTTTGTTTATTTATTTATTTATTTTTTTAAAGGCTTTAGCTATGGGAATGATGACAGAATACTATCACTATATCTTTACCACACTGGTAAGTGGCTTATAAAAACTTACTGATGACATCTAACACAGACATTGCGTTCCTTAATTACATTACTTGACACAGTGAAAAAGGTCTCTCTGGGCTGGGGTGTGAGTACAACATGTTTTCTCTGTTGAGCTTTCTTACTTTCAGTGAAAAAATATCAAAATGGTTTAATTATTGCTCAACAGTACACCCTAGAAAATGATAGACCTGAAAAAGCAACTAACTCTAGCACTGCAGTTTTTGACTTTCAAGCAGGGTTAAGAATATAACATCTGTTATATATAAACTGATTGTTTATATTATTGATTTTGTCCTTTTTCTCTTTAACCTATTTGTATGTGAAGATAAATTTACTCATATATTGCATTTTTTAATCCAACATTTTACAGGTTAATTCTTCCCTGTCATATGATTCCTGAATAATTTTGTGTGAATATTTGCAGCGTTTTATTTACCAGTCCACCTGGGCTTTTTAGGCACATGAATTTATGCAATAATCTTTGGTGTCCATTGTGAAAATGACTAAGAAGGAATATGTTCATTTTTGGAACCACCAGGTTCAACATATGTCATAAATGAACGTTTAAGGTGCAAATGCTCTAACACAATGTGACAAACATGTATGTGAAGACCTTTATTTTTGCTGCTCATCACAGCCTAAGAAACTGTAAAAGTTGGTAAGGTAGTACTCTAAAGTTGTGCACATATCTCTCTTCTCCATTGTGCTCAAATTTGGCTGTTTAGCTTAATTTCATTAAGGTTCCTAAAATACAAGTAATTTCAAGCATGAGATAGATGAGTCTTGGTAAAACCATGCTTGAAATTATGTTTTAAGTCACATACATGTTTATGTCATTATGGAAATGAATCCTTTATAGTAAGACAGAAAATTCATCTCAGAATCACAAAAAAGTTATTCATGGAAAATACTAGCATGGAAATATCTTGTTAAACAGAAAGCAAAATATTTTGTGAAGTTCATTGGAAATGTAAAGGCATAATACCCCACAGAAGTTCTTGTCTTACTTTAGAAGGGTAAGTTTTTCTATATTTTATGGATTTAGGGTTGCATGCAATAGAATTTCCCTCAGGCAGTCTATCAATACATATTCAGGATGTTTCAAGGGATTTTGAAAGGAGGAGGTCTATAGAAAGGCCATGAAGATCATCAGAGGTCTGAAGCACCTCTCCTATGAAGACAGGCTGAGAGGTGGAATTGTTCACCCTGTAGAGAAGGTTCTTGGGGGACCTTATGGTGACCTTCCCTCATAAAGGGAGCCTACAGGAAAGCTGGGGAGGCACTGTTTACAAGGGTGTGCAGTGATAGGATGAGGAGCAATGGTCTTCAAGTAGAGCAGAACAGGTTGGCTGTGGAAGTTGTGGTTGCCCCATCCCTGGAAGTTTTCAAGGCCAGGTTTGAAGGGACTTTTAAGAACCTGGTCTAGTGGAAGGTGTCCCTGCCCAAAGAGGGAGGTTCAAACTAGTTGATCTTTAATGTCTTTTCCAGCTGTAACCATTCAATGCTTTATTTACTTATTTATTTAATTTAAATTTTGATTTTGCTAAATATGCAAATTGCCTCTTTGAGTGGTATGCTGTCCAGTGGTATTTAATTTTTATTCTTAAAGCTGTTTAAAATTCAGGATTTTTTTTTTTGTCATGCTTATTTCCTTTTTAGAACATCAGCTTTTTCAGGAGTGACAAGAACTGTTGATTTGGAGCTATCATGGGATAATTTAGTGTGCACAAATGGATGATAGGTTTTTATTTTGCAACTAAGCTTTGGAAACTGCATCAGAATTTAGTTGTTTTGATACATTAATTGCTTCTTACTTGACATGGTGAAAGTCCTGTCAAATAAATTTTCCAGTCACAGTGTTTACAACAGTCTTCTGTGTATTCTCTTGATTGATTCAGAGTCTAATGCAGTAGCTCATTAATACTCCAATGTGTGTATTTATAATATATGCATAATATTGTTGTGTAGATTTATTATATTCTAGTGTAAACATGAATGTGTTTGGATTAAATAATTACATCTGAGGTTTTGACTTCTTTCACAGTAAAAACAGAGAATTTCTAAAGGGAAGGGTAATATGTTCAACTTTTCCTTTGCAATAATATTTTTTAGAAAGAGGACATGAGTTAGGTTATTTATATATTAACAATTTAAAAGCATTTTTAAACCTGGTTATCTTAGAGATTGTATCAAAGTTTCTAGCTAGAACTAAAAATGTGTAAAGGTTTCTAATTAGTTGATGTTTTGTGGGCTTAACAATGTTAATACTGAAGAGAAATTATATTCTGTTTTTCCATAGTACAATATTTAATCTTCTTCAGCTCTAGCCAGTAAATAAAATGGCTTCAGGAAAGTGTCTCACCTAGCACTAGCCTTTCATAGTGATTTACAATATTATACTCCCAGGAAAAATAAATTAAAAATGAGGTAAACGACTAACTATTATTTATGTGGAGAATTTCTAAGTTCAATGAAAATAAAATTATCGTATAGGACAGTAATGTTCTACCTATAACCTTGGTTATGTCCCTTAAAAAAAATATTTAAAAGGAAACAGAAAGTCAATTGAATGAATGTTCATTTATAATGTGTCTAACTAGACCAGGGTGAGTAATAGAATCATAGAATGTTTTGGCTTGGAAGGGACTTTAAAGACTATCCAGTTTCAATCACCATGCATGGGCATCAACACCTCCCACTAGACCAGGTTGCCCTTGTAAGAAGTCCATCCCCAGCTTTCTTGCAGGTCCCCTTCTGGTACTGTAAGGCTGCTGTAAAGTGTCCCCAGATCTTCTTCAGTCTGAACATCCTGACTGTCATGACTTTTCTCCATCAATTACATTTATTTTTTCCCCATGTTCAAAATGGTGTTAAACCCAAGTTACCTGAAGTCAAGTACTGGTTAAACATTCTTTCCAAGGAAAGAATTGGGTTAATCATGAGTTTCCATGCTTGATCTAAAGTTTTATTTTCTTCTTTTTAAAAAAATATATATTTTTCTCTCTTTGTGTTGGGTGGTTAAATATACACAAACATACATATGTATTGAAAATATATTAATTGACAAAGGTTTTTCTTCCAAGATAAATTCCTCATCAAAGATACGTTCATGTTTGATTGCTAGCTGTGAAAACTGCCTTTGGTTCAATTTAAAGCTATGCATATTTCCAGTTTTTCCCCCAGTTTATCATCTAGAGATGAACATATTCAAGTTTCATAGAGAGCGCAGGTGCATCAAAACTCTTGTTCTGTTTATTTTATGATTTGAAGTCTGTTCTGGTAAGCCAAAGAACAATATTTTTAGCAATTCATGATATTTAAGCCTAATTAGTAATGGATACAGTTCTGTAACTGGACTTAACATTTCCTTTTATTTTTTTCTTAATAAAACACAGCTGAAGCTGTTCTTCCTCTGTGAATCCTTCCTCTTTGACTCACTATAGGGTCAGCTGAGTTGCTTACTCACAGACACAGGACCTCAGATAAACATAGTGCACTTTCTCCTATTCGTAGTACTGTTACTCCTGCAAATTTCCGTACTCTCCTCTGGGAAGATGACCTAAGAATTGAAATAGGAATTGCAGTATATTAAAGAATTTACAGCATGATAATTTTTTTTCAGGACCTGTTTGCCTTGGATGTGGAACCCTATCGATATAGTGGGGTTAATATGACAGGATTCAGAATTCTAAACACAGAAAATACCCAAGTGTCATCTATCATTGAAAAGTGGTCGATGGAGCGGTTGCAAGCGCCTCCTAAGCCTGATTCAGGTTTGCTGGATGGATTTATGACGGTATGAACATGAGTGTTTAGTTCCTTCTTTGTATGTGGTTGTGAAGTTAAAATAAATTAACGTTGTCTTTCTGTGACTAAAATTGTTTTGAAGTGGGAGACCAAATATTGCTGTAAAAAGCATTCAGAAAGTAGCTGTGATGTTTCTGTTCATATTCTGTAGACTGAATAAGTTACACATACTGTATTTTTTTTTTTTTTTTCAAATTATAATTGAATTGCAAAGGTCTAATTCCATATTTCCAAAGTCCATATTTCCCTTCTTTGTTGAAGAGAATATTGTTTTGGATCATGTGTCAAATCTGAACAAAAATCAAGCTAAAACACCGTTGTCTCTCTCTCTGTTTTTGTTTTGTTTTGGTTTCTTTTTTTTGTCTGTGTCTGACTCATTTAAGATTCATTTATTAATAATGCGCATTCTTTAATTTCTACGTTTCTTTTTTTAAAATATATTTTACAACTACTATAAATAACATCTTCTTACTGCCTTTTCCAGTTTCTCTGCCTTCACACATCTAATTTAATCTGGTGTTTATTTTCTTTTTTTTCCTTCCATTGCCATTATTCTCTGGCCTCACTTCAGTTCAAGAAAATCACAATTACATTCATGCAAATGAAGTTTCATTGTTAGGTTTTCAATTAATTTCTTCTCATTACCTGGAATTAAATCTAGAATTAGAGTGTCAGAAAGTGATTTATTTTTAAACTTACCCTACCTTAGGACGTCTTTAGCTTTCAAAGTTGTTGAAAGATCTAATTTTCTGCTTTGGCCCATTTGTAAGATCTTTGCTAACAGAATTCCCCTGCTGTTTAGACATATTTTGTTTTCTTTTTCTTTTTTTCATGTTCCATTTCAAATATAGAAAATTCTGATTTTTGAAGATTAGTATCTTTGTTACCTCTGAGTTATCTAGGTTGTGTTAATTGAGCCATGTAACATAGCTTACCTTTTGATCAAGTTTTTTTCTACTGATAAAATTTAAGCATTTTATACACAATGTTTCAACATTTTAAATGACAATATTTAAAAAGTTAATTTATTTTTTGTCTTGCTTTCAGAAAACAACCCTTTTTAGAGGATAATAGATTTGGTTCTTTTATTTTTGCTTGGTGTCTTGAAGATGGCATTTGGAAACCTTTTAAATTTAATTTATTTACTAGCTCCATTGCATTGCACTTTTAAAGTACTATATGAGGAGATTTGTAAATCTGCATTGTTCATTTCTCTAAATAGTTCCAGATAAGTAAAGGAACCCCCCAAAATTTAAGAAATAGGTAAAATATACATCTGGTTTGCATAGATCTCCTACTTATTATTATAATACATTGCTTCATGCTTCCTTATCTGCATTAATATTTTCATTCCTTGATTTTTACCTTTTTCAATTTAAAATTTGTGCCAGTTCATCTTACTCATTGTAGTTGTAGAATTTATGTATCGATCAAAGAGGTAATTGATCTCAAACCTTCGCATAGTTACCATGACCTGTAGCAATATTTACTTATCAGATCATAGGCCCTGATCAATAAAATACTAGAATCATAAGGATTGGAATGGAGTTCTCTGGGTCAGTTGCATGTTTTTCATCTTTTGCGGTGCTGTAAAGAAAGTGCCATTCTCAAAGAAGCTTCTGAAGTGAGACCTGCCTCAGGATAGAAAAGGTAAAACAGTGTATGAAAAATACACTGGCTTCTTTTCTGGACCTATAAAAACCCTCTGTGTAAATTGAGATGGAACAAAGTATACATATAGGTTGTGATGAGCGTTTTATGGGGCTGTTTATGTTGATTAAGCATCTAAATGAACTTTAATTACCTGGGTTTTAGAGACCCCAGATGTGCAGACAGAATTTAAAGGATAATTAAAGGCCTAATCATTTTGACAAATATTAAGTGCTTACAGAGCTTTTGTATTTTGGCCCTAGATACAGAAAAAAACCCACATTCACAGGGTGTCAGTTTTGCAAGGAATTGTTTTTGGAAGGTCTAAAAGAAAGTAATAAAATGACATCATTGCACAAAGTTCTTCCTGTGTTCAGAATAAAAGAAGTGTAATAAAATAAAATAATTTTGTTGACTTATCAATCAAGTTAGGTTTGTAAAATTTTGCTTCTATTTCACTGTTGTATATAGGTGTTTAAAGTCAGAAATGCACTCAGGATTTAAAGATTCTACACAGATATTTATTGCTGTTACGGAATACTTTAGCTGATAAGTGCTTAACTGGGAATTTGTCTTCTTTACACTGGCTGATAATGACTACAACTGTTTTTCTTAAATATTAGCAAAAAGCATTGTTAATGGGAGTGCATTCAGCTTGAGCTACATAGCTAAATATAATTTAATCAGGTATTAAACCATCTGAAACTCAAGAATTTGCCAAATAAGGAATGAGATTTTCTTATCTCTGAGCATTTAGAGACATCAATGAAGACTGACTGGTTTTCAGTGATGTAGAGTGATGGAATGGGTTGCTCATGGCAGAGGGGTTGGAACTGGATGATCTTTAAGGTCCCCTCCAACCTTAATGATTCTATGATTCTATGAAAACTAGGCGCTCTGGATCACAAAGTGTGTAAGTTCTAGTGGTGTTTATGTTATATCCTTCTTCCTCCGACTTTTCCACCATATGTATTTCACAATCATGACAGAGTTAGAAGCATCAATCTAACTCTGACAATGCATTTCCTTATCTGTGATTCATGGAGTTTTCAATCTTAAGTCTTGTTTTAAGTTGTTTTCTGTAGGCTTTTACTTGCTCTTTAATTAGCATGCAATTTTCCCCATAATCTTCTGACTTTTAGTATCCCAATGTGATAAAAAGTCATCATAAAACTGAATCTAATCTGTTTGCAATGTTTCAATTCAAATTTCCATGTGTGGATCCTTCAGTTAGGATAATTTTTCCTTTGTTTTTAGGATACTCCTCAGGACAGATCTGGAAAGGATGTTTCTGTAACACACCCAATATTAGTGGTGAAAAACAAATATTTCATCACATTTTAGTCTCCTTTTAGAGTTTCTAAAAATCCTTTTTATGGTCTTTGGAAAAAGAAATTGAAACTATTTGATTAATGCTACCATATTTAATAATTCTATTTTTTAATAAATGCTGACTTATTAGTGTAACTTGTAGTTTAACCCATGCCAGCAACTAAGCCCCACACAGCTGCTTGCTCACCCTCCCAGTGGGATGAAGGGAATAGAACTGGAAGGGTAAAGCATGGCAAAAACTCTTATCTCTTACCAACTCAGCTGAGATAAGAACCACTTAATAATAGAAATAGTAATAGAAAAAATAATAATCAAAATAATGATGGATATTATTATTAGTTATACAAGAGAAATAAGTAAAACCCCAGAAAGACAAGTGGTACAAGTGAAAACAATTGCCCACCACCAGCCAAGCAAAATAGAGCATCAATAAAGTGTTCAGAATTGTTCTACTCTACAACTATTAATCTTCCACAGTTTTCTGTGCCTCAGGTCAGAACTTATCACGCATAATTAGGATGACCTAACAAGCTCTGCTGCTTCATTAATGTAAAGTTTTCCTTACTAATTGCTTTTGCCTATCATCTGATTTAGCTATCTGCTTTCATCTTATGTAGAGTGTATTTTTTTCTATTTTGACTATTAATTCTTTTCTTTGATGTTCACTGTAGTAGCTGTATATGGCAGGTGCAGGGAAGCACTGTGTTACTTGATGAGGGCTATAGCTAAGGTCACTGTTTCCTCAGAAAATTATAGTTTGGGTCTGATATGTTTTGTCTAGCAGAAAAGAGCATTATTTAGTTGTTCTCTTTGTCTTTCCAATCTTATTTACCTCGGGGTTTTTTTTTGTTTTTTTTTTTACATATATCTTAATATCTCCTTTTTTTCTGAATACAGTGTGCTTCTCAAGCTTAGGTGCTTTCCACCACAAAATATAAAATTTCTCAGCAAGTAAAAACTGAGTGTAATAAAAACATAGAGTAGTATTAAGTATTGAGGGCAAAAATGTAGAAATTTGTAGTATACCCAAGGTGGTTTATTTCTGTGTGTGAGATTTTCACATGATTTAAAAAAAAAAAAAAAAAAGATACGAGATTTGATTAATAATTTGAAATTTTTTAAAGATGGTGTATGGACTTCCTTGGATATGGAGAATGGATCAAAGGATATTTTATCTAAATATATAATGGAAAAAAGGACAC